CACACACACACACACACACACACACACACACACACACACACACACACACACACACACACGGTTACGGAATGCGTTAGGTGAAGGCAGGGGAAAGAGTGTGTACGTGTGTGCGTCTATGTGCATGTGTAAGGTAGAGGGGAGAGAACGCGAGAAAGAGAGTAGGGAAGGTAGAGAGGGAGAGAGGGGAAGAGGAAGGGAAAAGAGAGAGCCATAAGAGAAAACGAGAGCAAAGAGAGAGAGAGAGAGAGAGAGAGAGAGAGAGAGAGAGAGAGAGAGAGAGAGAGAGAGAGAGAGAGAGCGCGCGCGAGAGAGAGAGAGAGAGAGAGAGAGAGGAAGGGAAAGAAAACAGGAATCTTCTTTTGCCACTCGAGTCTGTGATTCGTAGTCTTGTAAAACCAAACTTTATTCACGGTTGAATAAATTATTACCTACAATATTAGATGCATGCGTCTCGAGGGACGCGCATATTTGCCACACGTCCATCGAATCGACGACGTAATACCTATAATCATGTTACTATACGCGATACACGATTCACCAAATGGTTGCCGCACCCAGGGAGACTTAAAGTCCTACGATAGACTGTCACCACCAGACTCAATATAAACGTCACAATCACCGTGACGCACGTTAGGTGACGTAAGGCGTGACGAGACGGACGCCATCTTGCGCGCGGGGAGTGAGCGGGGAATTGGGTTCCAAGCAGATTTCATCGTACCATCAAAACTGGTCATTTTTACACGTTGATGAGCCATGACAGATAGATTCGCATCCATTCGTACGAATAGCGCAGATGCTGTTGTAGATATTCCGGCAATTATAGGAACCTACTAAAACTATTACTCAACGTTTAAAGATTGGGAACTTTAAAGCCATTGTAATAGCAATACTCACTGATCTACTATGTTACTCTCGAAGCAATACATGTTGGTAGTCATCAGTAAAAAACACGTGGATAAATGTAGATAACCCAGGTAATACAGAAGTACAACCTATACAATAACAACAGAGATAACGTGTCGGCAGTAACTGATAGTGATTCAAGGAAACTAATCTGACAGAAAACCACTGTCAGAATTAACCACAATTTCGAGGAAAAAACTTGTAAAAAGAAAACGTAGAGTTAAATAACTAAATTAGCATCAGCGTTGTCATTTGTCTATCCTGGAGCAAAGCAGAGCTATACACAGCAGGAGAACATGAGAATGAACCGACTGCAGAAGCTGAAGAACAGATGCCGATAACAACCCAAAGACTGAAGAACCAACACCGAAAGTGTACCGAAGAAATTCAAGTAAAGCTGAACCAAACCAAAGGCAATCGTGAGACTGAAACCAAATCCAGATCAGGAAAGAGATAGAGAAGTTGATTTTGGCGTCAGTATATATTATCGTTGTGAGTAACCCTAAGGCTGCCATGATAATACCAGACCTACACCCTACCTCAGGAAATGACGGTGCAGACCAAACTCAGCTCAAGGTTGGTAAATGCCTGTTAAATTAGTTAACGAATCAACAGTCGCTTACCGACCTTTATCTAGCTTAGCAAGGCACTTTATCCCGGGTTTCTCCTGTCGACACCTGCTGTAGAAATGAGGTTAGCGCTTTGGGGGAAGACTAACAATGACAACCCATAAATGCAACACCTGTGAGGAAAACAATATATATATATATATATATATATATATATATATATATATATATATATGATTATGTAACATTACATAAAAATCGTAGTAGGTTGTAGTCTCAGCATATAGCGCATATTTATATAATGGAAACCATAACACCCACATATAGAGAGATCATAATATTCCACCTATGTAAGACAGCTATATATGTGCTCCGTACTGTCCCGTACGTGCCCCACCTACCTTCGGATGGTAGCATTTCGGGTCACTGATCATGCGCACGAGCATGTTGCGTGATGACCCTCGGCCCTTGTATCTTCGGGGCGGAGGCGGCGGCCGCTCCAGGGGATGATTCAAGGTCACGGTCGGATCAAACATGAAGACGTCATCCTCGATGTCGTCGATGTCGACGTCCTCTTCCGGTTCCTCGTCATCGTCAACGACGCCGTTCGGTTCCGGCTGTCGCTTCTCGATGCTTCCGCTTTCCCTGCTGCGGGAGCGCTTCAGAACCTGCCGACAGAGGGCGCGTATATCAACACATAACTGGCCGATCACGATATAAAATTGACACAATTTGCGAATGCGTCGCCGTTGGACAAAACTAAATTATAATTGCGTTTAAATATTCATAGATCATCTAAATATTGTAATTGTATTGTAATTGTATGTGTATGTTAATTTATAAGTGGGTAATATTATAGTTCATTCTATGAAATCTACAATGTTTCGGTGAGATTCGTCGATACGTAACTAGTATCTATTTATCAATCGACCTATTACAATTGTTTACATGTAATTTTAATCTAGGTTTTGATTAAAAAACTCAGGATTGAATTACGAACATGGCGTCACAAAATGCGCGTATATGTTACTTCGCTCAAATAACACGGGTTTTCTCGGCGGATGCTTTGAGAAGAACGCAGAAATACCTCGGTGCTGAATGTCTGGATGATTCTCCAGGCAACCAGCACGTCGCTGTCCGTGGCGTGCTCAGAGCAGATGGCAAAGCGTATGACGTAACGATTGTTGAGAGAGGCAGGCACCATGTGCAATTCCCCGGATGCGTTGATCGCCATTAACAGTCGCTGATTGGTTGCGTTTGACTCCTGCGGGCCCATCAAGATATTGAGATTTTAACAATATACAATTGTCGTCATTTTATTAAATATTATTAATTATTATTAATAATAATAAATAATTAATTATTAAATTTTATTAATTAGTTAATATGAATTAAATTGAAAATGATATTTTCTGATGACGTGAGTTGAAAAGCGTTGCTAAATATATTCGTTTTAATTGTAAGCCCGCATAAAATAATTAAATCCGCTATATGGAATGTTAACCTCCTGCGTCTCGCGAGAACGCGCGGGAGCTTACATTCGCATATGACTCCCGCACGAACACCACTAATAGCAACACGGGCGCGCACCAGTACCTTGAGGCGAAAGCATACGAGACCCATAACAACTTTACATGGAACTTCAAATCTTGCGTCCTTCTTCACGAAGGACTCAAACAGCTTAGCCAGACGAACGTGCTAGATGTAGGAGAGATAAAGAATAGAAGCATGGGATGAGCATAACTACGTGTTGGAAACAAGAAACTCTGTTCTTGTTCTCATATTCAGTTCTTTCTTCAGATCTCAAGCTCCTGTGTAATGTTAGGACTGAAACATATTGCAATGTTTACAATGTTTTTATATCAATGCTTATTTTTCTTAACTTTGCTAAATTTTAGCGTTATTACTATAGTATGCGATTTTTTTCTACTAAAGTTCTATAACGATAACTATAGTTATGAAGATGTGCACGCGTACGCGAACAATCACACGCGTACACGCGCAACCACACACCCACGCACACGCGCAACCACACACCCACGTACACGCGCGCGCACACACCCACGTACACGCGCAACCACACACCCACGTACACGCGCGCGCACACACCCACGTACACGTGCAACCACACACCCACGTACACGCGCAACCACACACCCACGCACACGTGCAACCACACACCCACGTACACGCGCAACCACACACCCACGCACACGCGCAACCACACACCCACGTACACGTGCAACCACACACCCACGCACACGCGCAACCACACACCCACGCACACGCGCGCGCACACACCCACGCACACGCGCGCGCACACACCCACGTACACGCGCAA